GGTGAGGGGGGCCGCAGGTGAGGGGGCCGCAGGTGAGGGGGGCTGCAGGTGAGGGGGCTGCAGGTGAGGGGGGGCTGCAGGTGAGGTCGGTTGCAGCAAGGGCGGCCTGTGTTTTGGCCGCTGTGACCCAGTGTACTGTCCTCAGGCGCTCGGACGCAGGAGACAGCCACCTCCTGGACCTGTGCATCCTGGTGTTTCGGGCTACCTTTGGTAGCGGCGGCCGCCTGAGCCTGGGCCGCCTCCTGGCCCACAGCAAGAGGGCCGTGAAGAAGTTTGTCAACTGTGACGTCATGCTGGAGCCGGGCGAGTACGCGGTCGTGTGTTGCGCCTTCAACCACTGGACCACCGGCCCCACGGCCGTGCCGGGTAACGGGATGCCCGGGTAGGGTGGGTGGCCTCTGATGCAGGGTGCGTGCCAGGCGTCCGTCCCCCTAACGCCCCTAATGCCCACATCATAGCCCCCAGCCCGTCATCAGGGAGCCCACGCTGTGCCCCGGAGCCACCTGGCCACGTGCTGGCTGTCTACAGCTCGAGGCTGGTGATGGTGGAGCCGGTGGAGGCCCAGGCAACCACACTGGCCGACGCTATCATCCTGCTGACTGAGAGCCGGGGCGAGCGGCACGAGGTGTGAGCACAGCCCCGTGGGGGGGCGGGGGCTGTCCGTGGGGGGGCCCCGTGGTCCCCACCCACACCTGCTGCCTGCACCAGGGCCGTGAGGGCATGACCTGCTACTACCTAACACATGGCTGGGCGGGGCTCATCGTGGTGGTGGAGAACCGGCACCCCAAGTCCTACCTGCATGTGCAGTGCGACTGCACCGACAGCTTCAACGTCGTGTCTACACGTGGCAGCCTGCGCACCCAGGACAGCGTGCCGCCCCTGCACAGGTGGGCCCCGCCCCACGAGCACAGCACGCACACACAGGCCCTGCACAGGCGGGCCCCGCCCCAAGAGCACAGCACGCACACACAGACCCTGCACAGGCGGGCCCCGCCCCACGAGCACAGCACGCACACACAGACCCTGCACAGGCGGGCCCCGCCCCA